AACCGGATCGATGCATGAAAGCGGTGTTCAAGTATTCGACAGAGACAAAGACAGCGACGGCAATGGCGACGGGTGACGGCGACGGTTTTCGACGATGTTGCAACGATGCACAAACACAGGCCAGGCGGTCAGTAGTGTAGTGTAACCGACGGCACAGCACAGACGATCTCAACGGTCGACCTGTATATGGCGATGACAGAAGCAGCGATGACGACGTGAAAGCTGTGACGGTACCGAGTCAGGGGGAGTGAAGCGGCAGCGGATTGGAACCGAACGAACCGCACTGGGACACAACGAAATAAGACAGGCGCACGGGGCGACAAGCGGCAAACGACCGGGAGGGCGCGAGGGGAAAAATCAAACGGACGAAACAGAAACAGGTTTGTGACAAGCCTTCGAAAACGAAGAGTTCGAACGCGACACACCGAGCGCGCGATTTGACTTTGACGACTGTGCACTCGCTCGAGTCGACTCGACTGCACGCACCACCAACAAGCAACTAACTTTTCCAGGTATGGCCGGTGCCACCGCCGCCGAGCGCATCGTGAATAATCATCATCGCACTGGTGAGCCGCGTGGGCTGGTGGCAGGCCAGCCGTCGCTCAACTAAGGCAAAGGTGATTCGACGACAATGACCAAGTCCCTAGTGTTTACTTAACGATCTCGTATAAGTTGGCCACCGCCGTATCTAGCATCATCGAATACGGCTAGCAGGAAAGTTGTTCATATACATAGCTGGTGATAACAAACCAATATGAAGGCCCTAAGAACAGACTTAGCCTTGGATAAACCGACGACGTTCGGTCTGACTCTGACGAACGGACAAGGCAAACTAACCGCAAAGGTGGTCGGTTGTTGCCGAGTGCAGTACTGAACAAGATAGATTGGGACGTACGTCACTTTCTGTCCTCCTGCCGACGGGTCGCAGATCACGCCAGTGAGCCACAGTCAGCAGCTACGTACTGCTTCCGTCGTCATTAATGCACGGGAATGTGCGAATCGAAAGTGTTAACGGCCCGCGACGATTACACAGGCGACACCAACGAGTCAATTCCGAAATTCCGAAATAAACTGACCAACACGACTAGTTAGTGTAAAGTGAACAGCTTCTCTAGTGAGTGAAGGTCAGTTAGTCGCAAAGTGGACTGAACCAAGTATCTGTGAATGCTGACCTCCCATATCGAATTGAGCATATCGAATTGCGTTGCTGAGTACACATCATTCCCAGTCAGTCAACACCTCTACTGCGAAGTTGCCGTATCGACCACGCACATAGTCGTCGTGCAAACATCTCCATGGTTACCGCCGGGAGTGAGTAAGAACTTCGTGAAAGAGCTGCGTCAAAATGTAATTGGTGAAAAGAACAGATCGTGAACTTATCGGAAAATGTCCAATTTCGAAAAAATGGAATGCCTCAAAGCCATGTTTAAACAAATGAATAGTCGCGTCTGCCTTGCAAAATATTAGAATATCTATGGAAAACAATGAGACCATTAAGAAAAAGTTCACAGTTTCGGGTCGCAATGGTAAAGGTGATCATTTATCAAAATTCATTATATTCAGAAACACAAGTCAATGGATACGAAGAGAATTAGGGCATTCAGGAAGATTCTGAGTGAACCATCTTTACCAGAAGAGATACTTTAGGACTGCCCTTTGTCGTCCATTTTTTTCTTTTCGCTTCAACCTATTCCCCTTAATCCTGTCGGCTGAGAGAGCCAGTTTCCTCTACACTGTTCTGTGTTTGCAATTAGGTCAAGACTACCCACTCGCAACGTCATTTCGTTCCTTAAAACAGAGCACCACCTTTCTCTGATCACCTCATCACCTCTTCTACGGTACCGACAAAGTTTGGACCGCATTACCGGCGAAGATTTCGTTTTCAAAGTGGCTGAAAAAACGGAGCCTGTTTTCAGAAAACTTTTCTTACTCATGTGCCTATATAAGAGTACGTCGAATCTGGTATTTTTTGCTAACACCACAAATCCATCTGAATATTCGATTTTCTACCGAATTTAGTTGCTGCTCCCATTTATCTACCCCTAACTAACATTAATGCAAGATTGCACTACTGCAGAACGTTAGATGGTATTTTTAGAGACAAAAGACAAAAGGTTTAGAAGCCCGCAACCTCCGTAACCTCTCCTTATTCAACACCGATAGTTTACAGTCGTGTCATACTCCGCGAATTTCCCTGATACTTCTTATAATGGAATCAACATACTTGAACAATGAAATCATATGCAAACTATCATATGTAATGACCTACTTTCTCATACTCGATGAAGTTTTCGCCATTCTGTCTGCTGAATGGCCGCCCACTACAAACTGTAAAAGTCGATTAGCTGGATGAATTGCTTGCGAGGTCGGCATGACCACGTTAGTATGGACGACTGCAATTCCACCGTCACTAAGAGGTATGGTGCTTAGTTGCAGAATTGCAATGCGCTGAAAGCACTTGCCCTGATGCAAATGTAGTCCAACTGGAGGCAGCTAACTTGACCAGTTTAATGCTAATGAGGTGACAGACTGAACTAGCAGCGACGAGAGGAAAAAACTGGCATGTCTAATGAGTCGGGCAGGTTCAGATTAAGTGTTCAGTCAAAATAAAGAGACCTGACGATCGAACAGGTTGTTAGTATATACCACGACCATCAACCACGACGAAGCACAGTTGAATAAAGTCAAGCAACACAAAACAAAGGTGTATCTGTGCCAAGAGTGATCGGCATGTCTTCCAAAGGAAACTTCCAGGGGATCTGGGCACTGACTTAAAGTTTATCCTTTTGCATTCTATACAATATAGGCGCATAAGTACCGTAAAATCGTAGCCTACTTAAATGGCTCCCTAGGTCAGTGAAAGCATCGGGCGGCATTGTCGCCGTCCATCCGGCTTACACGTCGGCGGCGCAGCATCAGTGTGAGGAAAAGCAGTTGGATTAATTCCTTAAATTATTGGTTATATTTATTGCATTGAAATACTTGTTTTAATGGTTATATATTTACTATGGAATCTGAAAGTGTGCAATCACTGGTGAATCCGGCGTAACACCCACAGCGATCTTTAATCTCAAGGAGGCGAACAAATTGTAGGGCAGGTAAGAGCTGATGAATTTGCGCCTGTTTGGATGGCAGATGGCACCACGAGACTTAACTGGTGCCGGATTCGTGGCTTGAATGAGGAGGACATGACATTACGGAAATTCTACAAAGGCAAACATTGAATACGTAGACTTATGACGAAAACCAAGTGGCTATATGACTAAGGAATACATCTACTGTGGTGCTACAACGAAGACCATGCTAAATTAAATGGTTAGGTTTTCATAGGTTTCTACAATTAGCATCATACTGATTCTGATGCGGCTGCTTCCGAAAAGATCATGCCTCGTCAGCTGACTCTTTAACTGGTGAGTGACTGTGCTATGCTGTACAATGCGAGACGGTTATCATGCGGTTGATTACCTCCACAACCGAGATCCTTCCATCTGAATCGCTCGGAGCCAGACGCTGAAACAGGAAAATCCTAAAAATGTCGCAGCAAAGCGAAAATAGGGGAAGAAACCTCAGAAAAGTTCAGCATGGTCATCGCCATGCCACAGTACATGCCACTATACATCACTAGTTCTATAGCTACTTGTTTTTTGTCACAGTTGTTCTGATTCCGGCATTTAACCGTGTGGAATTTCCGTACTGTCATACCCTTTTCCAAGTCAAACCATTAACCGGAGTCAAGTTAAGGCGCGACATCCAAATGGGGGGGGGGGCAGTTTCAACATAGTTGACCTACAGTGGTTCCAGTTACCAGTGGTTCGCCATCCAGAGATGCAAATCGTTGCAGATCGCTCCGGAATCGGTAGTGATTGCACATTTGATTCCATCCCAATCTATAAACCAGTGTCCAAATCCCCTGAAAGGGGCACCTGTTACTCTTGAAAAGTACTACGGATACTTTTAAAAGTGAAATAATTAAAGAGGCGTCTCGTTAAATGAACCATTCGCATGTGTTTCATAGATCGTCTCTGGGGGACGATGCTTGTCGCCGGCTTCTCTGCTGTATCACGTTGTGTTTAATAAACCACTATCACTGTTTTTGTTTCTGCAGCAATACGACCAAACGTATGAATAAAATATTCAAGCATTGGCCGGTGTTTCACGAACCGTTTTGCCAGCAGATCCGACAGCTATTGTCTGCCTGGACTGTCAACGAAACGATGAGCGACTGATTATCCCTATGCTAACACGACCTTGATTAATTACGTCAACAGAGGACGGAGGTCACTGATCACCGATCAGACCGCCCAGTATTGGCTCCGATACCCGAAAGTTTGCGCACGTTACCGTTACTGTGAATTTGCCTCCCAAGACGAGAAGTCTTCATCCTCATAGGCAAACGTGTCGGCGAAGCAGTGAAGCCCACGACTGTATTCGTCATCGTCCCACTTTCGCTTACGGGAAACTGCGAAACATGAGTCACGCGAGGTGAAAGGTGAACAAGCGCGAAACGCATTTAACGATTTGACAGTTTCGTGGCGTCGAAAAAAACTCCTCGCCATCATAATGAGATCTCGCAAGATAACGCAAGGCATGCTTACGATTAAACACTGTTTAAAGTATGCTGAATCAGAGAGCAGGATTATGAAGACTGAGTAATTCGTTCGTGCGTTGGTGGTCATACCAATTACAACATAAACACCGTTTATTTATACACAACGCAATCAATATGGTCAGTCGGACTGATCAGTACCTGACTGAACCTGATCGGACTGAGTAGTGCCTGATCATTAGCAATCAGTCAATCATTGACTGACTATACTATTCGGGTTGTGCATGGATACAGCGTGCTTTATAATGTTACACAGCGCATTGGTGTAAAAACGATCATTCTTCAAACAGACATGCCAGGAGTGTCGAGGAACATCACTTGACGGAGTGGCGGTGATGGAAATGTTTACGGATACGTTCAGAATGAATGTTGACGTCTAAAAAGATCTGGTCCAGAAAGGATCCTTTTTTGAAAATTCAAGCCCCGTCAACTTACCACACATGGAAAGTATATTTTCTTAATAACTCCACGGAAACAGCTCTTCTCTTTTATATGGCAACGCAGTTGGGATGCTACCCGGTTATCTCGATAACCGTCCAACTGCGGCCGGCGTAACCAGCTGGATCATTTTTGTTCCTTACAGATGCGGGAGTAGCATGCGAAGATTCTATCGCTCGCACCTAGCCATATTCACAGTATGGCCACTTCTTTTTGCATTTATGACTAATGAAGTAGATATGTTGAGTGCAGACATGACTTAGGGCGGTTCAGTTTCTTCCAGGTAAATAGAATTATAAGACTTCGTTGGCTGGATCCTCAAGTAGTCATTTGTTTGGAAATCAGTCAACGACGCTACTGCGCTATATGTCAGAAATCGGTGTAGCCAGTGACGGAACTAGAAGAGTTTCCAAATGTTCTCAGCTAACAAATGTGCTGATCATAACTGAGTAGGAGCAGTAGACTTACCCGAAGAGGGGTAGTCTCGTGGACAAAGACC